TTATCTGTGGCTCTATGCTGTGTTTCTCGACATATGCAGTTAGTTAAATCTGTGACATTTGTTTCTTTAAAATACTGAGTCAGACATTTAATAAATATAATAAAATCAACATCTTAAGAAATTCACTATTGATTTAAACAACAATTTAAACATTTTCCAACATTTTGTCTTGTTTTCGGAGATGTTCCTGGAGCCGTTTCACCGCCGTCCACAATTGGTTTTAACTATTCCAGCTGTGACCAGCTCCTTTTTTATTTCATTTATATATTGTGTTGCGAAGTTACTTTATTTTGTCACTTTTCCAGTGTAAACACTCTACATACCCCAAACCTGCTTAGAATTGGTGTACAGTATGGATTTGTTACCCAATTGCTGCTGCGAGTGAGGCAAAAAAAGTTCTGCTCAGTTTGACCAGAATGTGGCGCCAGAGGAAAGATGATGTTACTTAGATTACCTGCATCAGCCGATATTCAGGGTTTTGTAATCTGGGAATGAAAAAGTGGCGTTTGTGCTTCATTAATAACTTCTTGAACTTGCTCATTCATTGGACTTTGTTCCCTTGTGTTTCAGCCGGCTGGAGACCATATTCGAGGTGCCCCTCAATCGGCGGAATGGTTCTGAGTCCTGGTTTGGCCAGAGGCGCGTGAAGCGATTTGTGGAGTTCCTCGAGGTCGGCGAGGCCAGAAAACCAAAGAAGCCACTTGTCGGTGTGGGAAAGGTGGCTATTTCATCTTCCAGGACAAGACGAGGGGGCTTCCCTAAAGACGAACCGTCCCTCAGCGTGCAGGACGTGGACTCGCTTCTGTGTGCCAAGCTGGATCAGCTCAACTTGTGGTTGATGCACGATCAGAAAGACAGTTGTCAGGTGCCTCTTACATGTTGATTGTTTGGCAGCCATTAAAAAATGATAATAATAACCCTGCACGAGATAATGCTGTTTATATGACTATTTCTAATGTGTTTTCAATATGAAGATTCACATATGAGTCTTCCAGCTCTTTTGTTTTTTTGTCAGCACAATCAGTGTAAAAATTCATTGTGGTGACAAGTTGTTATTGAAGAATTACATTTTCATTCTGTAGCACTTGCAAGTCGAAGAACAACTCATCATAGCACCATAAATGTATTGCCTCATAGACGTTGGTTATAGTGGTTAAACGCATTATACAGTAAGTCGCTTTTTTTGTTGTTGCCATTACTGCACTCAAACTTCGGCCGTCCATTACTCCCCCCGGTCACTTTCCATCTGTGACACGTGAAACTGTCTCGAAAAACAAAAGTTGACGTCCTTGATTGAAGCTCTTGTACAGCATCAAAGCATTTTCTGGTATATCCCCAGTTTCTTTTAGAGCTCAGATTACCCAGAGTGTTATAAATCTGCTCAACTGTTCAAAAATGATAATGCAGAATACATCAGATTTATTTTGTACTGTCTCGTCTGAAAGAAAGCATTTAATTTCTTCTTTTTTATATACACATAAGTGGTAGTGATCTTGCAGCGTCATTGTATGTTATTTTATAAAGGCAGCTACTGTTTATTAAATGCTGAATATAACTTTTAAACATGCCAGCAAGAGATTTGTATTCGCTGCAACCAATTTCACAACCAAGTTTCTGTCCACAAGTTTTATGTACAGTCAAAACGTGGCTCAGCTCAGGGCAGACCCTGTTCGATTATTCATTTATTTGTGTTTGTAAAGTTATGGCTTTTTCTTTTTCTTTTTTTTTTTTATAAAAATATAATTTGGAAACAATACGGCACTCCAGAGAGCATTTCTAATCCACAGTGGAAGTGTCCAGATTCCACTGCTAGTTGGCTTTTTGATGCCTGTGGTTCTCTCTGGATTATTCTTCTGGACTTCTTGATAAAACTGTAATATATTTAGTTTGTTGTTTTTTTGCCAATTTTTTATGAGGTTGCCTTAACTGGTAAATGTCATGTTGTAGGTAGATGTTTTGTAAGTGTATTTGTAATGGTCGCTGTTTTTATGTCAAGATGCTTCAAGCAGCTCAGAGCACACAAAGTTTCTGTCGTTTTATTATGAAATAATAAAATAATAAAAATGTATTATTTATTCTGTTGCTACGTTTGTATAAAAGTACAACATATTGATACATTTTGACAGTAATGAAGGTAATACAGAAAAACAATGCAATAATGCCAAATATAATATTGGCAACAAGAGGATCTCATAATGTTCTGAAGACGCACTGCTATGATCACTGCCATCCCGTTGTATTGGAGTAAAGACCCAATCTTTGATCAACACGTTTATGTTTATACTTTATAGATTGACAGATTGAGTAACTTATTATTTTGTAATATCTGCAAGTATATAGAGTATCTAAGAACCAATATGTTAAATTGTTATGGCATTTAAGGTGCATAAGTATTAAGGATTGGGTCGTTACTGGGGAATGACTATTCTTATCTTTATATATAATGTCTGTGTCATGTAGTGTTTCAAACTATAGTTAATGCTGGATTTTATATGGTCATTAAGATTCTTGAGTTGTTCATATATTGTTAAATAAATATTACAGTGTATAAAAAACATGTAAAAGTTTTAAGATTTTTAATACCATTTTCTCGAGTGGTAGTTCCTTGTGTGTATAAAAAAAATTCTCAATGGTTAAGAGGAAGTAGAAAAGTGTAAACTGCTGAAATTTTATCAGCACAGGAAAGTCTTTTTGTTCATGTAACTACCAGTTTCTTCATGTGTTCACAGGTTTTTATAGCTGATAAGCAGCTTTAGTAACTGTCCGCTGGCTGTCCCCATTAACATCCAAAATCAGAAAAGCCGCTCCAGTGGTAAATCTTCTGTAGAAGTTTAACAGAGTTGATCAGTCCAGCAGAGTCAGGAGATATGAGATCAGTACTATTAGTATGGGAGTTAAAACCAGAATAGCAACCCATGTCACGATGGAGATGATGCCATATTTCTTCGCCCGTTGTGTAAACTTTGCAGCTGTCACTGGATCTCTCGCCTCCTCAGCCTGTAAAAGAAAGGACAAGACAATATATTAAGTTAAGAAGTAATACGTCCGACAATAAGCAGTACTATAGTTCATCATTTAGTTCTGTCATTTAAAATTGAACCCTTCTGTTTTGTTGATAATGGTTTTACTTCCTCGTTTGGGGTCCCACAGACCTAAGTAATTGCAAAATCAACCATTTCCCCTTTAGATATTTTTCTTCTAATCTTACTAAAACCTGTGTGTGTAGAAAATACATTAAGTGATAATCTTCACTCTGTCACAAAGTGGACCTTTTGCCAAAATACCTGTCAACACCAATCACAGAGCACAATGGAAATCCACTACATCTGTGCTTTCTGAGACCCCAATCAGACCTGTGGTGGCTTCTGAAACATGTAATCAAAATCATGTTTATGAGCAATTCTTGGTAATGGAATGTAATATTCGTTATGTTGTATAATTTCTCCTTCGTGCTTGGAAAGGGGAAGGTGATGCAACTGAGATTAGACCTGCAACTACACTGCTAGACGCCACTAAAGCCTATATATTGAACTTTTAAAGGAAAGGTTTACATTTACATTACAAACACAAGTTTGCCTTGAAACAACACTTCCATGTCTCTAAGTACATTCAAAGAGTTTTTTGTCTGCAGTAATTGCAGGAAGAACATTCTGTGCAAAAATACATCAACACTTTTAAAACACTTTTGTTGTCCGACCGAATCTGACTCAGTGGCAGACATCAAGAATAACCCTATATAAATAGCCAGTCTTCTCGTTGATGGTCTTTCTTATGTATGTCATATAGAGGCATCAGTATTACATTTACTTGATGATGCAGCTGAAGATAGACAGGAAAGGGGGAGAGAGAGAGAGGGGATGACACGCAGCACAAGCTGGATTTGAACCCAGGCTGCTGCAGTAATGACCCAAACCTTCAGGTACATGGGGCTCTAGATGATCCACCAGGCCCCCAAAGAGAGAATGTTGTTCTTAAGAGACTGAAAGTCTAAAAGATTTTAATTTGTTTCGTACTCAAGACTGCTGATGCCTCATATTAGCTTGAACTGAGGTAATTTTTTAGGACTGTGGTGCCAAACATGATCATGATATGTGCAGTTTACTAATCCCATGAACTTATTCCTCTAATTAAGTCCCTCTGCTGCAGTTCAGAGCGTCCGGCAGGGATTTGGAATCGGTAGCTTTAGGCGTTTGCCATTTTGACTGACAGGTGAAAGACAGTAAAGTACCTTGACTGAGTTTATCAGAGCCATGATTCCAATGCAGGAGAGCCCACAGATGATGCTGCTGATGGCGAGTTTCCTGTGGTTATTGTCCTCGCAGCAGGAGGCAGCACGCTGTTCAAGGCTGACGATCACTTGATTGCAAGTGTTTTTATTCTGTGCGTCACCTGACCCTGCGATGAGAGTCAGATGGACTTCATCTGCCGTCTGAGGTGAATTAGACATTTCTGCAAACCACAAGAGCATGTTTAAGAAAGGTTTTACCTGAGTAATGTCTTAATTGCTAAAACCACTTGATGTTTTGAGTGCATGTACAAAAAATATCTCAGGACATTTTTTTAAATAGAGCAGGTCTAGACTGTACTCCTTATAAAATGTAATGAATAATATGCAAAAGAAAGAAAAAAAAAATCTGTCTGTGGCTGCTTTATGGTTATGGTTTTAACACGCCTGATAGAAATGTTTGTTTTTCAAGATAAAGGGACTTTAAGGCAACTGGTTTCATTCTTTGTGTAAGGGCAAACAGTGCTTAAGTAAATGTTTAGTTAATTAAAATCTGTATACTCTAAAGCTCAAGATCTTAAGAGAAGTGTACAATCGTTTCAGACACAATAGGACAGATGGCCTCTGGGAGTTATTTAATTATGGATTGCATTTGATCTTTTAAATAATAACCTGCCGGGAGTCTCCTCCTTAGCAAACCTGAATAACTCTAAGACCGGTTTAACGTGGCATGCGTTCTGCTGTAAGTCCTATTTATTTTTTACTGCACACAAAATAATTAAACTCCCACAGAGGCTGGTTTTGTTAAAGTGTATACATATTCAAAATGTAACAAGACTAAATATTGACCTGCCTCATAAACCTGGCCCACCTGCTTTTTTGACACATAATGATGACAGGCCAGACTACGAGTATAATTCAGGTGCCAAAATGGCCCAAAGGGAATATCAGGGGTTTGAAAATTGATCTTCTATTTTGTCCTGAGAAATGCTGTGACTTCCTTTAACTGGCTGCCCATGTGACGCATGCTGCTGCATTAGTTCCCAAATTTGCCTTATGACCTTTATTTACGTTGTATTAACAGTTTATAAGGTGATTTTTTACCTCGAGCAGTTTGACCTGCTGTTGTGTTGCCTTCAGCACTGAGCTATACCCGTTTTAAAAACGTCTAACAAGTCTAAACATGTTCAAAAAAATCTACTATGTTCTCTACTGAGACTGAACTGGGTATTTCCAAGAAGAAAACAGAAAGTACCTATTGTATGGTGTAACAATGTGTCTAATGTTTCCAGTTAACTATACAAATAAAAAGCTTGAAAAACTTGTATGATCACACTTTAAAAATGTCAGAACCTTGTCATGTTGTCATGGTGAGATGAACACATAAAATGCAAGTTATCTAATCTCTGATTTGATCAAAGAGAGGCAGCATACTCTGGGTGTTTTTTCACTTGATCATCAGCTCAGTTGGATGAGTTAATAATAGTTTCATCATGTAATATTGCACAGGCCTGTGAATCATTTGTAGTGAGAAACGTATGAGTCTGGTCTGCGTCTAGATTGGATTCTGTTATTTTTGTTATAGATTATACACAACTGAAAACAACAGAGAGAGCTAGCTGTTATACTTTAAACACAGTTAAACCTCATTTAAAATTTTAATTAAATGAGTAGAAACTAAAGTACAAACCTGAATAAATTTAAAAGCTGTTTTGATTCCACTCCTCAATCTGAATACACTCTTCCAGTGAAACAAGGGATTTCTTCTGTCCGAGGTTTTAATAAGATGTTAGGCAGGTGTCTTGTCTTCTTTTATTCCTAAACAAATTCCAGTTTAAAAGGTGACTGCCGCCACACCAAGCTTCTTCCCTTAGGTATGAAGATTTCCACACGTGGTCATCCAAACACCACTGCTGTCATTGTCGTACGAGTCCAAAAAGACAAAAGCTCAGACGCAGACCTGTGCCTGTGAAAACTCAGTGCCATATAAGTTGTTGAATGACAGGATTGAGAGCCAGGAGTGAAACTCAGTGTGAAACCTCCACGCCCATTTTACTGTGCAGGCTCTTTGCTTCTTCCTCCCTCCCACACATATACTTACCAAACCCCTCCTTCACTCAGCATTAGTTCTCATATTCTGTTCCTTGTATCTGCAGGTTCGACTTCTTCTCCCCTTCTTCGTTAGTCACAGTTTCACATGCAGTTCCCTCACGTCTTTCCCCTACGACATTCCAGAGAACTTGGGAAAGGTGTGTCAGCACTTGTCTTGCCTGAGGGTGAAGCAGCTGCAGATTCCAGTCCGCCTTATTGTTTTCTAAATTAATATTGGAAGAGTAAACAGATCTTGTGTTTTTTTTGTCTTCCGTCCAACAGCTCAATCACTGCATCACGCTCAGGAACTTACACTCTTGTTTCTCTGGGTCTGGAGGGTCAAACAAGCCTGCTCTTGCTGTTCATATGCATATCTAGTTTCCCTGCCATCTCTCTGCTCTATGACCCAGAGATAAGAAATTATTCACTCCCCCTTGACTTGGCAATTGATGATTACTTGACTGCATTTTTCCAGAGCTGACGCCACCTTCAGACAGCTTCCTCTCTCCTCGTGCTGATAAAGTGCGTGGGAAGGAGCTTCTGATTTCATCCGATCGATACACAGTGTCTGCATCATACAGTGATTGTTATTCATACATCCTTTTTGTGTTTTCTCCAAATATAAAACTTCAAAGTAATTAATAACATTCCTCATTCTCGGGGTAATGAGTTACAAAGGCCTGGTCAAAGCAAGACTGAAGAGATTTTGGATCTAAACAAACAACAAGATGCTCAAAGAGGGTCCTTGACTCGTGTTAGCTATCATCTCTGTGGTCCTCCAGCAGGAGGTAGAGGAACATCCTTAACATCCAGGTTCAGGAGCAGCTTCTTCCTTCTGGACCATCATTTAAATGACTAATATGCTCTAAAACCTCCCCAATGTAATGTTAGTTTTTAGGTTTTAATCTTTGGTTTTTATTTATTTTCATTTTGTTATTTTGTTGTTTTACATGTGATTGTTTTTATAGTATTCATTTTTTTTTACCTTACACAGTTGTGTTCATGGTTGTTCATAATGTTTTCTGCTATGTGAAGCATATGTATACAGTATATGCTGTATATATATTTATACAGCATGCTATATAAATAAAGTTAAGTTGGTTTGAGATGGATTGCTGTTAACTTTGGTCCAGACATGGTTACCAGAGGATGAATTGTAATAAGATAAGATAAGATAAGATAAGATAAGATGTACCTTTATTAATCCCTGTAGGAGAAACTCAAATTAGACACAGGAGCATAAGGGAATGTAGTGCAAGAGTGGAAGAAGTGGAATCACTTTAATCCACTAATTTCATTTAGCACTACCATCAGGTTAACATTATAGTGTTTAAAACTTTGGTTTAAGACCAAATACTAAAAAAATAATGACACCCCCATCAGCCTCTGCTGCACTTTCTGTACCAATTAGCAAACATTAGCATGCTTCCAACCTGCATGGCTTATTTCTATTTCAGTGTTGTTGTTTTATCTGTTTAAATCTCTTCCTCTCCCCTTCTTGTATGTGCACTTTGATTTCATAATGTCGTGTTTTTAAATCTCTGTTTGACCTGGCACCTGACTGGAGGTGCAAAGGAGATTTCGTTAACTTAATAAGCCTAATGTTTCTTTTTTAATATCTGTAGTTGGAGGTGGGAGTAATGTTACTCTCTCTCTGTTTATTGGTGGGTTGTTAGCCCCGCCCCAAACTCCCAACCCACCTATGAGGAGCCTCTAAACTCTGAGGCGGAAGAAAACACGGAAGGGCTGCAAAGAAAAACACGACAGCAGAGGACGACACGTAGGCTGTGCTCGTTTTATGGTATTCTGGCCAAAATGGACTTTAATTAAATAGTTTCCTCTGCATTTCAGCCTGCATTATTATTCCGTTTGTTGGTTTAGTGACCACCACCCCTCCTGACTGCATACATGGAGGAAGAAAGAGGTGTGGTGTTGGCCACAGAGAGATATGGCAGTGCAGAGTGCTGGAAGTATTTAGGAAAGGATGGAGTGATGGAGAGGAGGAGAGATGGGAGTGAAGGTGAATCGAGAGGAAACTCTGTTGTTGGAGTTTTTAAAGTAAGGATTTTACAACTTTTTCTAGACTATTACCACCATCTTGCACTTACCAACTGTCCTTTGACCGTTATCTATCTTTTTATCTATTTTTAAATCTTTTCTACCTCAGTTATTTTATTCTATTGTTGTAATCTTATTGTATTTAGAATGTCCTGGCTGCTTGACGACCCAATTGTCTTTGGGGATTTATAAATCAAGAAATCTGTCTATCTACTCCTATCTATCTATCTTCATCTATCTATGCTATAAACAAACTTTTTCTTTGCCAACCTATCTTATCTTTTTAATCTTTTTTTAAAAATTCTCTTTCTACCTTCAGGGTATTTATTCTTATTTTGTAATTTTTATTGAATTTAAAAATGGTTACCTGGGTGCCTTATGGACGACCCCAATTTCCCCCCCCTTTGGATTAAATAAAGGTTCTTTATCTTAAATCTAATTTCATCTAATCTATTCTTTCTTACTCTTTATCTAATCATCTATCTTATCTGTTACACTTTTGGACCGTTCATTTTACCACCCAACCCCTCAGGCTCCACATGTTAACCATGTATTTTTTTCAGGATGTCTTTCCTGCCTCCCCAAGGGTATCCCAGAAGGGGAGGGTTTTCAGGTTTAAGGATTACCAGCCCGTTTTAAACCAGTTTTGGGGACACCCTTGGGGGGGGGCGGTTACAGTAAAAAAAACATACACGGATGAGATCATCACCATCAGATTTAAACCCTCTCTCTCTCTCTCTCTCTCTCTCTCTCTCTCTCTCTCTCTCTCCCCCTTCAGGCGTTCTCCAGCTCTCTGTCAGGGACTTTAGCCACTCAGGCCTCTCTCAAAGGTGTCGGTGTCGGAAACCAAGAGGCGACAGTAGCGGCGGCCACAATCACCTGGTTACTAAGAGGTAAACCCCTTTTAAATAAACCATAACGTTTACATTACTCTTGCATGATGAGTGCAAACTCGTGTTTTCTCCTGCAGATGGAACTGGCATGCTGGGAAGAATCCTGTTCGCTTGGCAGAAAGGGTAAGCTCCATTATATGTGTCCAATACTATAGTATGAAGTTTAATATTTATATGTGCTCCTCTCTCACTGGTGGTAAATTCCTCTTTATGATCAGTTTTTTGTCTTTGTTCCAGGACTAAACTGGACTCTGAGGCCAAAAAATGGAGGTATAAATGGTGTTAGAGGCTCATTCTAGTCATTATCATGAACCCCATTTAACGTACTAAGTGCTTTCATTTCATTTCTTGCCAGACTTTTTGCTGATGTTCTCAACGACACTGCCATGTTCATGGAAATATTGGCTCCATACTTTCCTGCTTTCTTCACCCTGATTGTGTGCACTGCAGGGATATTCAAGGTGAAAGAAAAGAAAACTGTGATGCAAATTTAAAACTCACTCAAAAGTTCACTTAATTTGCTATTCTCAGAGCTAAATCAGTAGTATGTGAACCTTAAGTTTAGCCTTTTTAACACATTATACTGCATGTGTTCCTAGACTTGGAAATAAACCTGTACAGGCAACTTATGTCAGGTTAAAGTTTTTATTATTCATCCAATTATCTAACAAATTTATTCTAACTTTTTAAATATCAGAAAATATTCTGCAAACACTTAATCAGATTAAAGTTTTAGGTCTATTAAGTATTTATTGCTAATTGTAAATTGAATTGGTGGTATAGACCTTTTTTACAGCCACCATTTTGACATGACATTTTAGGGTAATACACCTGTATTTACCCTACTATTTAATGCTGTGAAATAGGTCTATTGTGTGTTTGTCTTCTCCAGTCCATTGTTGGAGTGGCAGGCGGTGCGACCAGAGCTGCTCTGACTGTTCATCAGGCTCGCAGAGACAACATGGCCGACATCTCTGCCAAAGATGGCAGTCAGGTACTTTTTCGTATTTTTCTTGACCTGTGACTTGTATTTCCGTCACACTGTCTGTATTATGTTTAATAAATCTGTAATCTGTAAAATCATCAAAGTGTTTGATGTGGCAGTGTGCTGCAAAGAAGGAGTTTGTCTCATCTTCATGTCCTTTATTTCCCACAGGAAACTTTAGTGAATCTGGCTGGACTGCTGATCAGTCTGGTGCTCATTCCCCTCGTCACTGATAATCCAGTGTAAGTTCTGTCGTATACAACGTAGATAAATTACCACTATGAATCTTACACAGGTACTCTGTCGGATCTCTTTACGTCAGCTACCTGCATTCCCCTCTCTCTCTCTCTGTCTCTCTCTC